GCTTTCGTTTCCCCCCCCCCCCTCCCACGCCAGCCCCAAGCCAGAGCTACTGCGGGGTGGTTGCAGCTGCTCCGCCTTGGAAGGACCCCAGCAGCACCCAGACCTGCCGAGCTCCTGCCCGGCTCAGTCCTGACCCCATCCTCAGCTCTGCTTTAGCACGCTCCCTTCGGGCTCTCGCAGACCCCAGAGCCACCACAGCTCTGGTTAGTCCCACCCCATCACAGCAGGGAACCCGTCACCCCCAAAGCACCCGCCCCTGCATGAGCACCCCGGCCCCGCTCGTGCGCTGGCCCCCCCAGGTGCGTGCACCCCTGCAGTGCTGGGGGCAGCCAGCTCAGTCCTCAGCTCTGCTTTAGCACGCTCCCTTCGGGCTCTCGCAGACCCCAGAGCCACCACAGCTCTGGTTAGTCCCACCCCATCACAGCAGGGAACCCGTCACCCCCAAAGCACCCGCCCCTGCATGAGCACCCCGGCCCCGCTCGTGCGCTGGCCCCCCCAGGTGCGTGCACCCCTGCAGTGCTGGGGGCAGCCGGCTCAACCACATGCACCCAGCCCGGGCTCAAAGGGCAGAGGGCGAGAACCGTGGCTGGGGAAGAGAGGCAGCCCTGTGCTCCAGGGCCCCTGGGTGCTCCCGGAGGGCATGGCAAAAGCAAGCAGCCCCTGCCAGAGGCAAGGGGAGGGAGGGGAGAGTGAAGCCCAGCAGGGGTTAGTGGGGATGCAAAGCCTGACAAGCTGCTGCTGGGAGAGAGGAGAGGGAAACTAGAATGATGGTGGGAAGGTCTTCTCTGAAGCCATGCTTCATAGCTGGCATCCTGATCCCCCCATCACTCCCCCGGGGCTGGGCTGGGGTGTGCCTCTCCATTCTGGGCGCAGGGCACTCCTCCTTGCCGCCCCCCCAGGCACAAACCAGCTGCCTGGTATATGGTCTCCACAGCAGCTGAAGCCATGTTGCAAGCAAAGGATGGTTTCAGGAGGGAAGGAGGAGCTGGGAGCCGCTGGGTGAGACGCGAGACACACCAAAGCCTTTGCTTGGGGAAGAGGAAAGGCCCAATGCCACAGAACGGGCCGCATCAGGAGGACAGACCCAATACACCACAGCCTGGGCATGGCGAAAAGGCCTTTCTCATGCCTGGGGGAGGAAGGGAACCAACACACAGAGCACAAGACCTTCAGGGTAGGCTCCGAGGGGGCTGCAAACACTCCTGGGAGACGCCGGGCAGCCCTAGCCCGGGATCTCTTTGGCACTGCAGGAGGGCCTGCTAGCAGCCCGCATCCCACGGGTGCCACGCAGGAGGGAAGATGCTGCCCTAGCCCAGAGGTATGGCACAGAGGCTGCCAGCTCAGAGGGACACCAGGGATCCCACTGACCCTTCCCTGCATGCAGGGGGCAGGGCAGCTGTGATGGGAATTAGGGAAGAGCTGCAGCATCCCTGGATCCCGGCCAGAGCTGTTCCCACCAGCTCTGCATCCCACCCCTACCCACACCAGCAGCAGCTGGGGCTCGTCCCTCTGCAGGATGCTGGGGCAGAGGGGTGGGTGACTGCCCCACCGCTCTCCTGCTCTGGGCTGAAGGGCACAACGTTGGTCCTCTCCAGGAGGGCAAGCACGGTCCTGGGCACCTCCCCAGGGCCACAGGCAGGGCAGAGGTGTGGTGCTACAGGCCGAGCGAGACCCCCCCAACAGCTCCTGCCTTCGTGTTGGAGGCAGGTCCCAGCTCCGGGCAGGCATCTGGAGCTGGTGCCATCTCATGTCCCTTCGAGGAGCAGCTGCTGCTGCCACCTCCAAACCAGTCCACAGCTCCCCGCTGCTAGTCCTGTCATGTCAGCTTTCGCAGGCTCTGCAGCGATCCTCCGACACGGACGACACAGATGTGAACACGGACACATGTATGTACTCACACACGCATTCACCCCACGAGTCAGAGTGGCGTTGACTTGACACACGGCTGCACACAAAGTGCCACCGCAAGGCCGCCAGCCTGGCAGTTTTGTCTCTTCGGCAATTGATGGCAACAAAATGGAGCCTGGGACTATCCTGTCCACTCAGGACGGGAGAAGAATCAGGCTGACGCCACATTCTGCTGCCCAGGCGGCTCCCAGTCTGCAACCCCCACGAGATCCCCAGTCTACAAGGCTATACCTGCAAGACAGAGAGGGGATGTGACACCTATCGGGACCAGCTGCCAGCACCCCAACCCGGCATCCTGAGTACACCTTGCCACTCTCAGCCACAGCCTTCACCCTTACCTTGTGGATCTGTGGTGGAAGCTCATCCTCTGAGCTCTCCTCTGGCACGGGCTCTGGGTGTCTCGCTGACTGCCCGTCCTCAGCCCAGCCTCCCAGAGGGAGGCGGGAGAAGTGTGATGGGGCTCTGTGTACTGTGCCTGGGTCTGCAGGGGAGGCAAGGAGGAAGATTAGGGGGACCTGGGGGACCATCAGTTTTCAGGGGCAGGCAGGCTGCTCGTGCCAGTCCATACAGGGCATCACTTATGGGGCTTTGACCTGGAGCTCAGATCTCTGCCCTGGCTGCTGTACCTGTGATGCCACCATATCGCCGCTGGAAGCCGGTCTGCAGCGTGGCCGTCTCCTCAGCAGGCTGCCGCGATGAGGAGAAGGGGTAGCTGGCAGAGCGAGGGATGGGGACGGGGCCACCCCGCTGAGGTTCCAGCTCCTCGTGGGCGCTCTCCCCGCTCTCGTCACTCTCTCGCCGGTGCCAAGTGTGCCGCTCGGGCTCCAGCTGGGCCTGCTGCTTGTGCAACTGCAGGCCAAAACACGAGTCAGTCAGCTGCGTGGGAGAGCCCAGATGCCTAAACACACCCTCTCCCCCACACTGCACAGACACTGGTCTCCACTCTCACTCTCACTGGCATCCCAGTCACTCCAGACAAGGCAACCCAGGCTTGTTCTGACAGGGATCGGGCTGTCCTGCCCCGTGCTCTTCTGGCCAGCCGAGCTCCAGGCTGCTCACCTCATGCATGTAGAGTGCGTGGAGACTCATCTCGGTGGAGGCGTACTCCGACAGGATCATGCTCTGTAGCTGACCCTCCCAGGCGCTGCTCCCTGAGCTCACGGTCCTCGCATCGGCACTGCCATGGGACACACAAGTGATGTTTGCTGCCCAGGTAGCTCCTGCACTGCCCAGCCCCTCTCCGCTCTAATGTCAGGCTTGCGGACATCCGCTCCTGGGCTGGGTAGGAACAGGCCCTCTGTAGCATCGCCCCAGATGCACAAGGTGACCAGCCCTGCTATGGCACTGCCTCTTCCCTAACAGGGGTTTCTCATCACTGTGGTACCTGCAGGAGAACACCAGAACCCCCACACTGTCCTTCAGGGCCACCCTAAGCACCTGGGCCTAGCTCTGCTTATGAACATGCCCCTTGCTGGCCCAGGCTGCAGAGATAAATGCCACCATTCACCTAGGACAACAGGATGGCAATAAACAAAGGTTTAAGGAATTTGCAAGGTGTCCGCCGCCCCCCCCCTCCAGCCCACAGCTTACCCAGAGGCTGTCATGGGCCTCGGGGCACGAGGGCGGGGTGC